AAGAGAAAAGAGAAGAAGAAAAGGAGAAGAAGAGAAGAGAAGAGAAGAGAAGAGAAGAGAAGAGAAGAGAAGAGAAGAGAAGAGAAAAGAGAAGAGAAGAGAAGAGAGAGAAGAGAAGAGAAGGAAGGAGAAGAGAGAGAGAAGAGAAGAGAAGAGGAAGAGAGAAGAGAGAGAAGGAAGAGAAGAGAAGAGAGAGAAGAGAGAGAAGAGAAGAAAGAAAAGAAAAGAAAAGAAAAGAAAAGAAAAGAAAAAAAGAAAAGAAAAGAAAGCTATCCCTCACTGGCTGGTCCTTGGAGCATATCCACTAAACCAGGGGTGGAGTGGGATAAGGGGAACTTGCTATTTCACAAAGGTTCCTAATCAATTAACTGGACAAGCTCTTAATTCAAACATGACAGACATACTAAAGAATCCAACTGTTTTAAGAAGATGAATCCTACCTTTCCGGGGTCATCCTTGGATCGAGGCACTTTAAGGAAACACTTGTTTAGTGACAGATTATGTCGTATAGAATTCTGGAATTAAAGAAGAAAAGCCAAAAGGTCAATCAAATCCAAAAACTAAAATCTACCTTTAAAAACAATCAGAAACCTACACAGCTCTATGCATTAGAATACAATTACAAATAGAATATGCTTTTAAAATGACCTTCAACTTTAAACCTTTCTGACTTTCAAATTATGAATGCTGCAAAGGGAAGTAGTTCTTAGAAAAGAATTTCTAGTAAATTCCATAATAATTTAATATATGTAACATTTTAAATGTTTAAGACCTTTTAATGATGCAGGAAGATACTTGAGATGTAATACTAAATATCAAATACAAAACTGTATACATGTTATAACTTTAATCATGGTATATATTTTTTAATTTATTTATTCTTGTAAATAAGCCAGAATGCATAATGTTAGATGGTATTTAATGTGGAATTACAGGTGATGACTATTTTCTTCTTTTTATTTTTCTACAAGGTCCAAATGGTCTGCAAGGCATATGTATTACCCCTTTTTAGTTAAAAAAAAAAAAAGGTTAAAAAAATTCCACTACTATATTATAAAAAGCATACAGAAGCCAGTTAGATTCTCACCACAATCCACAAAAAAGAAAACCACAAGAAAAAATACTAGCTACAAAAGGCTAGAAAGAAAATCTAGATTTTTCAATGTAGCAGTAAAGAATAGCTAATTTGAGTAGCAGAAAAGTACCCTTGGAGCCCTAGAAAGTCTGTAAAACAGAAAATCTACTCATGAATACGTAGGACTGTACCAAAATTCTTACATAAAATACCCCAAAGTCCATTTCTTCTCAGTTAAATTTTCCAAAGTCTATTCCCAAATAATTCTGTTTGTTCCCAAATGGCCAGTATTTGAAGGATAGGGGACGGGGGGATGGTCCAACTGCATTTAGGAATGTTACTTATTGGGGCCATTTTTTGGCATAATGTCTGTCTTATATTTTATGTAAAATGAAGAAGTCTAACAAAAATGCCTATGTTAAAGATTCCTTATAACAGTCACAATATAGGAATTTGAAATGTTTTCAAAAGATAACCAGAGAATACACACTCAAGCCTATCTTATTACCAAGCAGAAATTTAAAACCTATCAATGGGAATTCCACCTTAGTTTGGGATGTGAACAGCTACAAAGAATAATGCGCCCTCCCAAACAATGAGAAAACACTAGGTAAGCTTAAAAAAAAAAAAAAAATAAAACTATTTTTGAGTCACATCAGAGAGGTCAGGTTGCAAGGCAACCAAGCAAACCACATTCCTAAGAGGGACAAGGCTATTCAAGGAGAAACAGGACACACAAACTGTCTCACCTTTGGCAGAGCATGGGAAAAAGAGCTGGCATCCATCCAAGCAGTTAAGAAAGTAGCTAAAATTTTAAAGGCCAAGCATGGGCCAGTTTGTCAGCAACAAGGGCCCCAGACACTAGAGAAATTCAACTGAGACCTTGTTTACTCTCAAGCTCTTCTCCATAGGCCTTTACCATGTGCTCATAAGAAAGAATGGGGGGGATAGGGCAGGAGACCAAAGACAGTCCCTCTTAACAGGGAAGAAGTAGCAGAGAGAGGGGAGACAAAGCCCACCAATATTGCATAGATTCTACAAAGCAAAATCTCTCACCCACAGGACTCTGACAAAGATTCACTGCTTCAGGAGGAAGAAAAGAAATAAATCTGTTCTCCCTTTAGGGAAAGATAGAAAACCCTTTTCCAGGATACAAGTGAATATGATCTGCTGCTGGACAAAAAGTAGACCCGAAATCCCTTTACCTCTGGGAGAAGTGCAGGGAATTGTTTTGGGTCTAGGACCCCACACTGATACCATGCAGAGGTCTGCTACAACCGGGGTGGAGGCAGGAAATTCCCACCTGAAAGTAATAATTACAGATACAAGACTAGTTTGGCTGAGGGAAAGAAACACTGAAAAGGCCCCACCCCCAAGTTCAAGATCTGTGTTAAGACTGAGGCTGGACCAACACAACAGAGAAAAAAACCCTTGCCTCTACCAAAAGCCTAGCAGTAAATAACAAGCAAAAACAGTCTACTGACAGAAAAGGGGCAAGAGCATTCAGGAAGACCCTCATTTATAATAAGGTGGGCAGAGACAACTTAAATCTAAAGAGATGGAAAAATGAAAAAAAATCCTACAGCACCTAAGCCCCAACTCCAAGCACAAATTAACAGGAGCCTATCGCAGAAGGAATGTAAAGTCTGTGGTGTACTGAGGATAAAGATACCAACAACAAAAGCCAAATCCAGCTCAACTTACTGACAGACTGACTCAACCTCCCACATAAATGGTATCCCACATGAATGAGAAAAAAGATACTTGTCCATTTACAAGTATAAACACAATTTACCCCTATCTCTACAATTTTTCTTTACATTTATCTGGTACTCTGTCAAAAATTATAAGACATAAAAAAACAAGGAAAAAACCCACTATCAAAAGATTAACAAAACCCAACTGAGAGAAGACTCGGGTGTTAGAAATATTAGACAAAAACTTTAAGATATCTATGATTAATATGTTATAAGATCTAGGAGAAAAAACTGGACAACCTGAATAAAAGGATGGGGAATGTCAACAGAGATGTGGAAACTATAAGAAAGAGACAAAGGTAAATGATAGAAATAAAAAAACACAATAGAAGATTTTATTTTTTTTTATTTTTACCACGTAACACAATAAAAGATTTTAAAAATCCTCACATAGGCTCATCAGTAAACTGGACACAACTAGAGAAAGCCTCAGAAAACTCAAGGACAGATCAACAGAAATTACCCAAATTGAGACCAACACACACGCATGCACACATGTACACAAAGACTAACAACAAAAACAAAACAGATCATCCAAGAACTGTGAAACAATACATGTAATTCAAGTCCCAGAAGAAGAGAGAGAATGGAACAGAAAGAAAATGTAAAGTCAAGAACCTTCTAAAAATAATGCAAGACAATTCACATATACAAGAATTTCAGAAAACATCAAGCAGAATAAATTAAAACCCATACTTCTGTATTCATTATAGTTAATAAGTGCTAAAAACCAAAATGAAGAGAACAGCTTGAAGGCAGCCAGAGAAAACAGAAAGATTACATATACAGGAATAAAGTTAAAAATTACAGTGGACTTCTCAAAAACTATGTAAGCCAGAAGACAATGGAGTGACATCTTAAAATAGTGAAAGAAAAAAAACTGTCAATTATATACACAGTGAAAATATATCTCAAAAATAAAGACTTTCAGACAAACAGAAGCTGAAAGAATTCATTTCAGCTGGCTGACAATGTTATAAGGAAGTTCTTCAAACAGAAGTATGAAACCAAATGAAAACTTACATTTGCAAAAAGAAATGAAGAGTACCAGATTGTAAAAATGAAGGTGAATTTTATAATTTTTTTCTTATATGTAATGCTTTTAAAAGATAACCGTCTAGCCGGGCGTGGTGGCTCATGCCTGTAATCCTAGCACTTTGGGAGGCCGAGGCGGGCGGATTGCTCAAGGTCAGGAGTTCGAAACCAGCCTGAGCGAGACCCCGTCTCTACCAAAAATAGAAATAAATTAATTGACCAACTAAAAATATATATACAAAAAATTAGCCGGGCATGGTGGCGCATGCCTGTAGTCCCAGCTACTCGGGAGGCTGAGGCAGTAGGATCGCTGAGCCCAGGAGATTGAGGTTGCTGTGAGCCAGGCTGACGCCACGGCACTCACTCTAGCCTGGGCAACAAAGTGAGACTCTGTCTCAAAAAAAAAAAAAAAAAAAGATAACCGTCTAAAGCAAGTATAACTATTATGGGGTTTATAACATATGTAAAAGTAAAATGTATGACAACAACAGCATAAAGGATGGGTCAAAGGAATTGGAAAGATTGGTTTATAAAGTTCTTATACTATACATGAAATGGTTTAATACTATTTGAAGGTAGAGTATAACAAGTTAAAAATGTTGCAATGGACTGAATGTTTGTGTCTCCTCAAAATTCATATTGAAATATAATTCCCAATAACATTTGAAGACAGAGCCATTGGGAGGTGAAGAGGTTATCAGGGATGTCCTCATGAATGAGATGATAACTTATAAAAGAGGCTCCAGAGAGTTCATCTGCCCCTTTCAGCACGTGAGGTTATGAGAAGACAGTCATCTATGAACTAGGAAATGGGCCCTAACCAGTAATCAAATCTGCTAACATCTTGATCTTGAACTTCCCAGCCTCCAGAACTGTGAGAAATAAATTTCTGTTGTTTATAAGCCACCAGTCTATGGTTTTTTTGTTAAAGCAACTGGAACAAACTAAGACAGATGTATATAGCAAACCCTAGAGCAATCACTAAAAAAATTTTGGAAGAGGTATAACTAATAACGTAATTGTGCATATAAAATGGAAATGGGGCCAGGCTTGGTGAGCCACAACTGTAATCCTAGCACTTTGGCAGGCAAAGCAGGCAGATCACTTGAGGCTAGGAGTTCAAAACCAGCCTGGGCAACATACCAAGATCCCATCACTACAAAAAATTTAAAAATTAGCCAGGTGTGGTGGTGTGTGCCTGTAGTCCCAGCTACTCAGGAGGCTGAGACAGGAGGATCACTTGAGCTCAGGAGTTTGAGGTTGCTGTGAGCTAGGCTGACACCAACTGCACTTCAGCCTAGGCATCAGAGCAAGACCCTGTCTCAAAGAAAAAAAAAAAAATCATAAAAAATACTCAAACCAAATATAAAATAACATAGGAAAAAAAGAAAGAAGCACCAGACAAACAAGAGTTCATCTACCCATCTTAGAAGTTCAAGATGAGGATGGGTGGAGTGGCTCACGCATGTAATCCTAGAAATCTGGGAGGCAGAGGCAGAAGGATCGCCTGAGATCAGGAATTCCAGACCAGCCTGAGAAAGAACGAGACCCCCTCTCTACAAAAAAATAGAAAAATTAGCTAGGCATGGTGGTGCATGCCTGTAGTCCCAACTACTTGGGAGGCTAAGGCAGGAAGATCGCTACAGCC